TCAATTGAATGGTTTATATTGATATATTATTTTATCAGTGCTGAAACAAAAGACGGAAACTTCTCCAAAATGAAGTAGGTCATTATATCCATGTTAGAAGACACATTCTTCCTACTTAGTTATTATTTACCCTTGCAGCAGCTCTCTGGTGTTGATATGCTCCAACACAGAAATGGTAATTTTTATAAAATATGCAAGATGCTGTAAAGAGAGACTAAGTGGGAAGAATGAAAGCTACATGCCTAAAGGGGAGCATCAATAAACAGATCTAACAAAGACATTGGAGGGCAGAAAGAGCTTTTTAATGAGGAATTATTTTCAAGTTCCTTTTTAGGGAATAGGGAGGAAGACACTCCTTTTTTTTTTTGCTTATTTATAGACTTAATAAAAGAAGAAAAAAAAAAAAGAGATGGCTGGCATCTTTCAAAATGTATCCAAGAACACTTTCTTTCCTAAATCATTGTTTGTTGTTTTTTTTTTTTTTTTATTTCCAATCAACTCTTACTAAATCTTAGAGAGTGGAAGAACATTACCTAGTGGCAGGATAGCCCAGAGAATCAAGCATAGCAGATTTCTTCCTCCATTCTAATTTCTCCATCCTAATTCTCATCTATTTTATGATTCTAAAGGTATTCAACAGCAGGGGTAACTTAACAACTGTGTTCCCAGACACAAGTGCAGTACTATGTCCATCCCATGACACACTACAGAAAGCAAAAAGAGTGTGCTGGGAAAAGTGTAATTATTCACCACCAAAACTCTCCTGCCTCATGCAGATTGTAAACACTTTATAATACTGGCTTGAAATGAAATAATATTCCCCATTAACTTGCATATTTCTTTCTGTATTTTGAATTCTGCTAATGAAATGGAACATTTCACATTGAACAATCTTCTACTCACATGCACATTTTTTTTACTTTCATTATAGGGAATTACTTCAGGTTTACATACTTGTAAAAAGCCTGGTTCTCCACCCCACATTTCCAAAGATGCTTGCAGGCTGCTGGTGTAGAGGTATGGAATGACAGCACAGTCTTTTTCTAAGTGCAAGGAAAAGAAGGCAAATAAAAGTAATGAAAGCACTGAATTCTCAAAAATTGAAGTATCTGTACCTGACAGCATCACCATGAACCAGACACACTGAAGACCAAGCTTTCCCATGTAGCCTCAATCTGTGGTTCATCCATGCAAATACAACTCATACACAGCTGATAATTAAACTGCCTAGGCAATTGTTTTAGAAATAAAAGAAATCACATAAACAGTCCCTGATATTTCTGGAATTATTGCCTCCATTTTCTGTTCCTCAGAAATAGCCTCCATTTTCTGTTCCTCACCTAGATTGTATCTAAAGCCATAGTCTTGAGCTATCTCATTCTACCTAGGGGAAGAACTGATTCTAGCATTCAGCAGCCAAAATCTTTACAAGTTCAATGGCAACACAGAACTCTTATCTACCTAGGACAGACTCCAATCTCTTCAGCTGACCAAAATTTGAGAAGATTATCATTATTAGCCAAAAATACCTCAAATTGATCCTGAATTTTCAACCATATACAGATATCGCTCATGTTTTAGAGTGGATACAGCTTAATCGCTTTAAAGTCCATTACAACCAGACTACACAGACAACCAAAACCATGAGCAATCAACACAGTACTGCGTGAATGTTAAGTGATCAGTGTCTCAACCCTTTGCAAATTAGACATTCTTTTGACACCAGCAATATTTACATTCACTCATCTTCTGTATTTTTATGTACAATAGAAAGTACAATTATTGGTTGTTTAGATATTTTTTTCATTGAAAAATGATGTTACGTCTTAGTTGATTCTAAATCAAATACAGAAGTTCTGTAACAGTATTAAACCTGACCTCTTTCTGAGCTCCAAATACATAAAAAGTCTTCCCTTCAAATTTCAGTTTATAGACATCGCACCTAGAAAGAGAAAAATAATTTAAGTATAGGAAAAATAGATAAACAGGTAAGAAAAGCAACTTATATCCAAGTTTCCCCAAATCCCAAGCTAAGTGTGTCACATGACAAAAAGCCTAAACATACCTTTAGCATAAAAGCATCTAATATTCTAATTTTCTTTAGATTACAGAACATAAGCCCAGAGTATTTATTTTACATCTCTATGCACCTTTAAAGAATTAACTTTGACTGCTAGAAAATAAAGAGGAAATTAAAAGTAGGCAGAAGCTTATGTTTATGCTCTATATACTATATTCCTCTTATATTCCTCTTATATTTAAAATTTTGGAAGTTCTAATGTAATGAAATTGAGGGAAAGACAATACGCTTATGTCTATCCTTATTTATTTGTGCTTTCATATCACACATCTTACTAACTGACTACTCACAGATAGAATACACAGGAAGAAAATGTTTGACAGCAGTTATTACTGAGGCCTTGTGAGTTGCAAACCTGTGTCAAAACTTAATATAACGGCTGAAAGCACAATTTACATACAGGATAGCAGTGCACTGCTATATAGAATATAAAGATGATACAATGCCTCTGCTTAAAACATAGTGGAAATTTTGTCATAATCACAGCTAAAACATAGACACTGTAGCTTCATAAACTTCTCTAAAGATTTTGGATGTCAAATGATTGAAATGGGGACAATTCTGGAAGCAAGGTCCATGCTATCCCTGAAACTTTGTAACAAGAGGTTTACTTTAACGTTAAATAACAATGAAAAATCATTCCAGTTGAGAAAGCTTTTCCATTGAAAAGAAAATTTCAAACATTAATTTGAGCTAATTTCAGCTCATATAAAAGCAATACATCAATATTTCTGAAAGGACACATGATCCTTAAGTCACATGGAAAAACAAGTGCTGTGAAACTCATTTCCCACAGTATGAAAAGTGCTTGTCAAGTGCTATTCTGTCCTCCCTGTGCTGTAGACTAAAATTACAGTTATATTGTCCTTATGCCAAAAGCACATACCACCAAAGCACTGTGACTAAGGCTACCTGAAATTAACCCTAGGGAAACTGCAGCCGAAACCCAGAATCACAAATGGATGGTATTTGACAAACATATCTCCAGATGTCCACAGGGAACCGAATCATACAGACAGGACTGTATGATATGACACTGACTTACATCTCTGAGAATTTCAGTTATCAACCATCAGGGAGGTTTCTATTGATATTCAGAAAATAGTCCAGTTCCACACAAAAAAACACCTCACTATTTCTTCACCTTCCGCCCATCTTCTTCAGTAAGCTGGCAGCACTGAGGTAAAGCAGCCACATCTACACGAGTGGTGTTGGCATCTGTTTAGCAGCAGGGCTAAAATGTGATTTATCAATGTGCAAGCATGCTTGCGCTCACTCTGAACCACACTGGTGAAGGCACAGCCAGCTGCTGTTACCTCACCTGCAGGAGGTTTGTGATACCTCTCCCTCAAACACTGCTGAAGCTACCCCGTTAAGTCAAATACCTTACAGGAGTATAAAATAAAGCAGAAAAAAAAAAAAAAAAAGGAATGGAAAGGAGGAAAGGGGCAGGGGAAGGGAAGGAAAGGGAAAGGGCAATGGAAAGGAAAAGACAATTGTGTAAATGTCCACTTCTTAAAAACAGAGGCTAAAAAATAAAAATTCAGAGCATTCTCACCTCCTCCTCTGCTTACCAAATAAATCTTTCTACAGTGTTCAAATTGAGGTTAATTAAATGAGAAAGTAGCAAGAGTCAAATAAAGATGCAGATGGACTCCTGTAAAGTCTGCCAGACATCTTGGCCAATAAGCCTTACTGGTGATTTACAGCATAGCTGAAAAATTAACTTACTCAATTTTAGCATTAGTGCATTATGTTGATTAATACACCCTGTGACATAATTTTCACTGGAAGAAGAACAAGACCAAATTATTATACTTCTCACCTAACATCCTTTAAAACAGAAACATGATCAGACAAGCAAAGGAATATTCACATGGTTCATCTTGAAGACAACAAATGCAGGTGACAATAGTAGGAAGAAGGGAAGACACAGGACAGAAGACTTGCATATTTATCTCCTCTTACTTCACATGCTTACCATTTTAACAAATGAATTCTTTTATTCCCCTGGAAAACTACAAATCCTGCAGCTGTGAATCCTAAAAATGTAGTCATCCCCATTGAGTCCTTGAAAAAGAAAAAAGGAAAAATAATTTTCCTCTAAGCCAATGAGGCATTTCTTACTTGCAGTACAAATTGTTCCTCCACTATAGATTACCTCCATTTTATTTTCCTTTCAAAATCAGTTTTGCCTTCAAAACACTTCTAAAGAACCAAGACTGATCTTGGCAATACAGGGCCTATTTACTTCTAGACATTTAAATGAACTTATGTTTTGTTTCAGTCTACTTCTAGCTGATGACACCAGGGAATCCTTAGGTATATTACAAATTTTGTTGAAAATATACTTCTGTGTATGTCATTCGTAACATACAGACTAATTACAAACCATTGATTCACATATGCTTCAACACTGATATACTTCAAGATTTCACAATACGTTTTTCTTCTGCAAGATGCTGTTTTGGAAGTAATGCTGACAGTGTTTGCTACAAGCAAGAACTCTTGAGTGCAAACAAGAATATACAGTGCACTTGCCTTTCAAATAGGAAAGATCTTTTTTTTATTTTTCTGATTCCAAAATAAAGCATTGTAATTAAAGTAATTAAAAATGCAGGTGTAAGGGACAATCAGAACTGGTAACTAAAATCACTTACTTATACAGAACCACAGAATAGCAAAGCGGAGGAACACACAAATGCGTATCTGGTTCCCTCCCCTGTACATTTTGCTTGCTGCCCTTCCTAAGATCTGCATATTTTGAGGACGTTTGAAGAACTAATCTGCCAAGGACTAACAATTTGTTGCATCTTCTGGACAGAATAATGCTAAATCCTGAAAATCTTGGCAAACAAAATATTTCACACTTGGAGAATTTAGAGAAATTTCTGCACTAAATGCAAAGAAATTACGAAGTATAATCAAAGCTTTTGTCATGACACTCTACTACAGTTTTCCTATGATGTTTTATTTCCTTTGGAGAGACCTTTCCTTTGACTGATGCAGAAATGTTGAACAGTTCATGTTCTTCCAAGCCTTAAATGTAATATGTAGTTTCAGGGCAAGTTCTTTTACAGATTACTCCATATTTGTGATTGGATAAAAAACAGATGTCTTTTTATTAAATGTTAGCAAAAAGAACATTTTATTGAATGTTAGTAAAAATAACTGTTACCTTGCAAGGATGAGGATCAACACCGTAAGTTTCCAAAGAATATGCTTTCAGGAGCAAATTTAATTCAGCAACAGCTGGGCTCTGACCTCTGAAATTACAAAAGAAACAGTACTTTCATAGAACCATAGAATGGTTAGGGTTAGAAAGGACAGGAAAAAAAAAATAACTGGAGAAAAAGACTTTTTGACCAGGGAGTTTAAAACCTAAAAAAGTAGGAAAGAAAACATCTTACTGAAATACAAACTATTTTAACTATGTTTTCTTTATAATATAAAGGAGAAAACTTTTTCCATGTTTTCTCCTGCTGATTGTACAGTGATGTTTTTATCTCAGTCCTGAGATAACATCATGTTACTGCCATTAACCACAGCTATCTAATATCCTGCAAGTATTTGTCTTCTGATGTACATGCACATCATCTTATGAAATAAACCTCAGTATCTGTTTTCCACAAACTCCTGCTCCCCAACTAATTTAAAAGGATTGTGCAGATTAACAAACATTCCTTACAGTGCAGGATATAAACACGTCAATCATAGAATCACAGAATCATAGATCATATTACACTGTCTACTCAGATGTACGCCTAATTATAGCAGTGCCTGTTACCAACATGATAGTTCAGAATCTGTCAGCATTTCCATTATATGCCCCTATTTTTAGGGTGTCCATAATTAACCATGACTATACACATGCACAACTTGAGTTTTAGAGTAAGTTTTTTTATTTGATTTTTTCTTTTGTAATGCCTTCATTTCTAACACTGTTGCAATGAATTCTTAACACAGATTTACAATGCCTGTTTGTAAGTGAACTGTTCTGAGTATTATTTTATTTATGTATTTGCATTACTATATGATTCTGATAGATAATACTGTTTTGTGACAATCAGCAGTGCTTAGGACCTTTAGAAAGCCAGTCCTCATAAATGCTTCATATACAAATTATCCAAAAAAATGAGCCATCATCAATGGTCAAAGAGTTAGCCTCTTTTCTTCAAGGAGCACAGCCAACAGTTATACTTTATCTTATTCCTGCATTTTGGGGTCCAGTCACACATTGTGACTAATGGCACTTGGGAACTGGCATTTAAAAACTGATCTGTGTACTGGTGTAGAATAATTTCCCTGTAATCTGTTATCCTCAAGTAGCTAGAAATTTAACAAGCATTGACATATGAGATTCAGTACACAGCCAAAGTACAGTTTTAACAATTAAGACAATGTCTAGCATGCTTGTGAATGTCAAATCCCATCTTGAACCTAACAAGCTAAGGGCCCATGGCAATGTAAGTGTCAATAAACTTTTCTGTGACATAATTTAAACTCGTGCTCGTTTGTACTTCACTTCTCGTCACCTCTCAGTCAACACCATGATACATCTTTGGGGTCTTCCATATGTCTTTTGGTCCTCTTTCATACTACACTATTTGCACTTTATTTCAGATCACATTTTTGTTGATGTTTAGCTTTTAATGAAAAAAACCCCACAAGATTACAGAATAAGTGCCCTTCTGTTTACTTCCTTTTTTTGGTCTCTTTCTCAACACTTTTCAATGGAGCAGAACATGTTCAAGCAGAATACCAAAAATTATAAATTCATATTTACACAGCTAAATATATAAGGGGAAGACACCATAAAAGCAGCAAACAAAACAAAAATGCTTAATTTCCCAATCACCATTTAGTAGCAATGTACTAAACTGTTCTCCCTTTTCAATACTAATAAATCACAACTTTAAGTGTAATCTCAACTGTAAGACCATAAATGAGCCTTAAAAAGGCAACAAGTTTGTTTCATGTACCAACCAACTGCATAGGACAGACGTAATTAACTAACTTGACCTAAACTACTTAGAACACTTATGTTGCATAGTAAGAAGCAAAAAAAAAACAGATGGTCTGATTGCTTATTGGGGACTAGGCCTCACAAAAAAATAAAATCATAAAATGCATCTTTTTCCACCTCCCTTTACTGGTTCAAAGGAAAGTAGTCAGTGTTCTGGTTTGAATGGACAAAAAGTGACAATTAGTTTGGAGAATGTGATTTGGGGGTTTGGCATAGAATCACGGAATGTTTTGGATTGGAAGGGACCTTAAGATCACCTGGTTCCAACCTCCTTGCCATGGGCAGTGACACCTCACCCAAAATATTGAATTACAATTATCATTAAAAAGAGACATTAAAAAAGAATTAGCATGCTCTTCTCAACTACAGCTTCTGAAACTACTCTGTCTTTCTGCATGTCAAGTGGAAGAAGCTGTGGTACTTAGGGAAAAAAAAGCCCGTAAGACATGGACAAGTTAGATCTTACCAGATTACAGGCTAATCAAATAGCTACTGTGCAAAGCCTTAAAAGAACATCAAGGGTAATATGAAATGAAAAAATCCTTATTCATCCCTTACGAAGGGATTGTCAATCCTTGATAATATGCTTTTCATCTCTAACTTACTACTGAAATTTTCCTTGCTAAATGAAAATGTAACTATAGCAAATCCTATCAGAAAAGTCAACACCTTTTCATTAATCAGTGATTTAACATTAGATATGCCTTTGACAGGATCTGTTAAAAAGCCTTTAAGCTTTCTATATGCAACAAACAGCCTTACACAGTGCGTCTTTCCTGTTTTGTAACTCAGTTATCTCAGGAAAGCCAGGTTTCTCTCTCATTGCATCCTTTTGACCTTATATGACTTCCCAAATTTTTCAGTAAGTGTTCAGCATTATTTCCATATGTTGCAACCACTATAGCACACAGCTGGAGTTCGCTGAAGGTTCTGAACTGGACCAGTAAAGGAAACCATTGCACAGAAAATTTTCTGTATACCATACAAATAATAAAATGTGGATTACTTGTGAAATTACAGCTCCACAGTTATTAGCCATGAATTGATTACTCAACCTTGGAATCAATCAACCTAAGAATTCCTGATAAAATTCTAATCAAACAAAGACTTTAACAGAAGACTTAGAAGTCTGCAACATGCTCCGCTTTTTGCTTTAGGCTCATGAGAAGTACACAGTAGAGGCTGTACAAGCTCTGTTTATTCCCCACAGGGTCTCCAACTCTGAAGCACTTCAAAAGCTAGAAGCTCAACAGGGAATACTTCCATGGTGTGCCACAGCAATGATCTACTTGTTTTGCTGTCTGCTCACACCAATTCACTCTAGAATTTTCTCCCCTTCATACCCTTCCTTTGAGGTATGTATCTCGTACAAATTGAAGTAGTGAAACTTAATGAAAGTCAAGGATGAGATAGCACAGGATTGAGCATTAATTCCTTTAAACAAACAGGGAAGACTGTATAGCAATAACAGCAAATAAAAACCATTTTCAATGCTATTCTTGGCTTCTTGGTTCCTGAATTATCTCTTCCCTGATTCCCCTACTGACTTACAAAGTGCTGTGAGATATTCCTATCAACATACTGTTCATAATAATAATAAGAGATAATTATTGTCCATCCTTTTGCCTCATCTCTATGTCAGAGTTACTTGCTGCAGAATACAACAGCAATCCTGTACTTGAGCATGCCCCATGTTCGATTAAACGAGAGGGTGTTTCAATAGACGTAGTTCAAAGAATAAGTACATGTGTATATAATGATATGGCCTCTGGAAACATTACATGTTCACCTCCATGCAAACCAGGGAAAAGTACCAGCCATAAACCTTTAACTAACATAGGCTCAGTCTCCATCGAACATCCTTCGCCCTGTCCTGCAACTGTGGACATACTTCACTGCATCCTCAGGAGATCACAGTAACTATTTCAAGAAGGATCTTCATCTAGGAAATATTCTCCTTGCTATATTCCAGATCTTGTACATCTCTCTGCAGAAAAGGTTACCTGGGTTTCCTTTTAACCTAAAAAAAAGCCAGAATTCTGCATAAAGAATCAACAGGTTTAACTACATCATATAACAATCACAGAACTGCCTACAACATGGCTGAGGTTTTGCTGTTGTTTCTTCAAATATTTTTACAGGTGGTCCAGACTCAAATTGCTATACAATTACAGTGTTTAAGGTCTTGAGTAGTTTTTACTTTTCCTTTAAGCTCAGGAGATTTTGGCAGAGAGTGGAGACATTTCTTTCCTAGCATTTTTAGTCATGATGAAGGTCCTAAGGAGGACTATGTGGTAATGAAACACAAATCTGCTACAATTACCAGTATTTCAGTTGTATTGGAGACAACAGCACAAACACTAAATGAAGACACTGGTAAGCAAAATTGTGATGCAGGCTGTTTCTCAGTTTGTCAAATTAGTGAGGCCACGCTTTGCACATTGCTCACGCAGCAGCACTGCTTCCCTGAGAACTGGCTGGGCTACCTCATCAATAGGAGAACAGCCTTTGAAACTGTCTGCATATGAAAAGAGACACTATCACGGGCAAGTAGGTGAATTGCTGAAATATTGCAGGAACACATAAAACTTAGAAAACTGAAGAACACTCAAATATCAATTTTAACTTGTACTGAAAAACTGAATTATTTCTCTCAGATAGATGAGAAAAACCCAAATAATCTCTTTAAAACTCTTTTACCAAGTCTATTAAATTCTTACAGGTTTAATTTTACATCGCACATGTTCTTATGACATGTGCCACTTACATAACCTTCTACCAGAACATTTAAAATGACCTGTGCACCTTCAGAGAGGCTGAGACAGTATCTCTGAAGCCTGTATTTAGGCATTTGTATTTCAACTTCTTAAATTGATGCTGCAACCCAGACAACTTTAAGCCTACTCAAAAGACAGAATATATTCAGGGAGTAAATGCAGTTTTAATTTACCTGTTATTAATTTTAAAACTATTCCCATGATACAGAGACATCTAGTGAGCTATCTGGTTTTAATATCACTGTAGATTCACCTGTCTGGTGCTGCCACACTGTCCTGGGTTCAGCAGTAGCAGTCATTTTTCTCCTTCTTGGTAGCTGGCGCAGTGCTGTGTTTTGACTTTTGGGCTGGGAAGAGAGCTGATAAAAATGATGTTTTGGTTTGGCTGAGGATTTTGTGAGCCTCATGCTCTGCCAGGGAGGAGAGGAAGCCGGGAGGAAGCAGAGACAGGACACCTGACCCA